GTGATCAGTTTACAGATCTTATGATCAAATATTTTCAAGGAGACATCAAATAATGCTGTTCCTTTCCAATCTGTGAAGAAAAATAAAAAATTTAAAAAGTCTGTTAAGGTTGTTACTGGAAAAATAACTCAGGAACTACTCCACAGCAGCCGAACCTAGCCGAAGATTGGATTACTCCCACTAAATATGCCAAAAGGAGCCCAGATTATTTCCTGAGCCTCCAACAAAATGCCATTTCGAACCCCTAGATGTTGACATTCCTGATGATTATAAAATGAAATGCCAAGACGGAAATGAAAATTCTGAAGCTGAACTCATGGCTGTCGCTTCTTACACCACGTAAAACACAGGGAAAACCCGACATTACCTCCGCTAATCTGTCCGAGACAGGAAGTCTCTTGGAAAGAAATACGAAGCTTTTCTCTGAGCATGGAATACAATGATACATTCTAACGCTTCCTAGAGATAAAATTACGCTTTTCTTTGATTCCAGTCGAAATCGAAATACTGCGTTTGGTCTATTTTTCAAGAAAGCCATTCCTTTCAGAACTTTTAGAAGAACAAAATTGCTGACTTTGACCCAAGGAGTTGAGATAGAACTAATTGCAAATGATTTCCTGTGATAAAAGTTACTCAGTTCACGTGAAAAATTCAAGATGCCGTGTATTTTTTACTTCGTTGAAAAGACTCAATGAAGGCAGAAGCATCCATTCGCAAAAGACGGTTTGGATCTGCATGTCAGAAGTTATAGAACCTGTAAAAATGCTGTGGTTTGCTTTCGTAGTCAGGGAATGCTGATGGTCAGGACGTCTTTGTCAGAGATTCGACCATGGTCAGATCTTCTGCAACAACCCACCCAGACGTCTGACGTGTAGTCAGGTTCACTTGACCTATATATGTACTGTCGCCCCCTAAAGAAGAGAAACCAACATACGTCCACCTCAAGCTGGATCACGTGGCCTCATCGAAGAAAAAAAATTTAGTCCAAAATTCGTATCAAGAATGATAATATGCTCCCTCGGAGACCAAAAAACCTTGCTGACCAATGATACACAGAATCGTAACATCCCACCCCCAGACGAAAATGTCGTTACAAGAGCAGTGCTCTCCCCAATGTGCCCATGCAACTACTCCGAGATTGTCAAGCGTCTGCCTAGAAAATCCCATACATGCTCGATGGGATTGAGATCCGGAGATCGTGCCGGCCAATCCATACATTCAATATCCTCACTCTCTAAGAGCTGTTCGGCAGCTACTGTGCGATGACATGGTGCATTGTCGTCCATGAAAAGGAACTGCGGACCCATAGCGCCTCTAAAAAGACGCACATATGGAAGAAGAATATCGTTACAATAACGGGTCCCGTTGACTGAACCTGCGTCGAAGATGTGAAGGTCTGTACGACTACCAAGCATGATGCCTCCCCAAACGAGAACACCGCCACCTCCATACCTGTCCCTTTCAATGATGTTCGATGGATGATTGCGGCTTCCCCGCTCTCTCCAGATGAGTATGCGATGAGAATCGCTACTCAGACTGAATCTGCTCTCATCTGTAAAGAGTATTCGTCCCCATTCATTGTCTCTCCAATTCCGGTGTTCCCGCAGAGAACCACAGAGAACGCCTTCTCCGATGGGCAGGCGTTAGAGGTACACACCGTACAGGGCGTCGTGCAAACAGACCACCACCGTGCAGTCTTCTGGCCACGGTAAAACGTGATATCGGTCGTCCAGTCGCCTGTGTCGTGTGTCTAGCGATTTCTCCCGCTGTCTGCCGTCTGTTTCTTCTGGCCTGTAAGGGAATATACCGGTCATCTGCGGGTGCGGTTCTTCGTGGACGACCACTACTAAACCCCCGGATAGCTGTTCCTGTAGTTTGAAATTGTCTCCAAAGTCGTGAAACGATGCTGTGAGCAATTCCGAACTCTGCAGCCACACTTGTCACACTGCGGCCTTCCTCCAACTTCCCAATTATTCTACCTCGTTTAAAAGCATCCAGATGTCGTCTAACAGATTGATTATTCGCCATTTCTCGCTGAGGAAGCAACTCGGTGTGATTTTAACTGCTATACGACGTGCAATCTCTTTGCCAGAAATACTGATCTTACACCGACAACATGCTTTATACTACTCAGACACTCCCCCATTACGTCTACCTGCATATCTGCGCATGTGCTACCGTACATCACGTTACTTAATCTCCTGATTGGTCTTTCTGTCCGCTCTGCCTCTTCGTTCAGCTAATTTTTCGACTTCGTCCTTAATTTTTGCACATCAGTGTAAATGTGGATGAAAGTATAAATAATTTCTCCAGCAAATTCATGCAGATTACAAAAATTCAAGAAGATTAAAAGCACGCAAAATAAGCTTTTGGTTGCACTTAATAGCGATGGTATGTTTGCTGGAGCAGACGCTTTCAATTTCTACTTTTGAACTTTCCATTTCATTATCCGAGATTTTCGACTGGAAATGTATTGTTGGACTTTCTACGTGAAGGGTTCAAGTAGCATTATTTTAGCATGAGCCAGACACGTCAAGCTACGCGACATCAAGTAGTATGAGCCAGATACGTCAAGTTACGTGCGATATTCCCAACGATACTCGAGTAAATTAGACCAGTGTTTCTCAACCGCCGAAGAAATATTTGCCGGTTCGCGGAAATATCGAGCTATCTGTCCAAAACCCAAAGTGTCATCGCCCGACAACCGATATTACAACAGCACCTACATTGCAATAACAATAGTTTTCTAGTTTAGAAAGTAATATGATCGATGATGAAAAATATAACAAACTGGCAACTATGTACCTAATCGCCTTTCATAAATTGCCTTGCCGTACATTTAGTACAGTTAGTGTGTCCCTGTCTTCCTTGAGTATCGCTGATTACTTTGAACGCTGAATATCTATCCAAGTGTTTAAGGCGTCTTAGGTTAGGTTTCGCTTTTTATCTTGCTTACATTCTTCTGCACGCATTTAATAACTGTTTTTAATAAAACTTCTGAATTTAATACTGTGCTATAACTACTACAAGTATTTCTGTAGCTTTAGGTAGATTAAAAATCAATAAGTATGATGAATAAGAAGGAAACGAAAGGCACATTACTAAATTTCGCTCAAAGAAAGGATTCTCCAAAACCAAGTACGTCGTCTGCCCCTTCGAATACAGATGAAAGTGAATATAGTCCACAATCTGCCAAAAAACGAAAAGGCTTTGTAAGACACAATATCGTAGACTATTTGAAATATGGTTTTGACCTTTGGCCACAATCAGAAGAAAATTGTCCCAAACCGAATGTGCTGTTTGTAGAGATGTTCTTTCCAACAAAAGCATTATTATGAATTTCGGTTATTTCAGTTGTTGCCACTTGAGGACGAGAAGAAGTTGACAAGTGGTGCTTCAGGTATGGTAGATAAGGGATCCTCATTCGCTTGTCCAGGGACCGTCAGTGATTCGCTTTTATATGCAAGGATTTTTGTGATTATTTTTTGTAATAGTGTGTGATTTTTATCAAAGGTTTATTTACTTATATATGATAACTATACCTGATATAATTAAGACACAATAACACGCCTGATACCTGATATGTAATAATTACAATATTTACTTATCTTTATATTTAAATATGATTGTAGAAAATAAGACTATTACAATTAACTTATGTAGTAATTATTGAATACCTTGTAAAGTTTTTTTCTGAGGGAAGAGATTGGGAAAAAAACCACCGGTCTGCGAAATGTTTTCGTGAGTTTTATTGGTCCGTGAACCAAAAAAGGTTGAGAACCACTGCATTAGACTACAATAGTTCCTCTTTGCGTTTGTATAGTAGGTGGGAAACAAAGGCTGAGCTGGGAGTGATGATCAAGTGATACTTATGGTTCAGGTTCAGTTAGGAATAAAATTATCAAGGCTGAGATGGGAAAAGCCGCAATCGGGACATCACTTTATAAGCCTTATGCCTCTTCTCTAAGCAGGTACTTACAATATTTGCTAGCTAATCAAGATTTAACAAGTATCATTTTCATTCAAAAGATTGGCTTTTAGGACGATGTTGTTTTAAGCGTTTTGTAAGTTAGGGAAGGTCCCAAAATTCTAGTTCCCTGAATCTGCACTTTCTAATTTGTCGAATAAAAGGAAGACGTACTATGTATTCATTGCCGAATGAAATCTGTGCTAAAAGCTGGTGAAATCGGTTAATCTTTGGATTATGGTAACTTGGCCATTTTTTGGCGAAAATTTGGCGACCTGCTAGTTTTTTTTTTTTTTTTTAATGCCATTTTGTTTTCAGGAAGTAAAGGCATTTTTTTTTTCCCCTCAATATTATTTTCCAACAATCTGCTAGCCGAATTACGCTTATGCTAGAACTTTTACGGAACAAAAGTGCTTAATCATGACGAAGATTAGGTGCGAAATTGGGAGAAAGTGCAGAATTGCTTACTGCTTGCCTCGTTTTTAAGAATTCCAAATACACGGTGTCCATGTACACGTCGACCTATTTTCACTTGAAAAAACAAATCAGAATTGCACAAAAATGGCATAGCGCACACTCTTGACTTTATCCATGTACGCTGCTAAAGTCCTAGCTAGTAACCTTTATCGCCTTACCAAAATGCCGCCAAACTACCTGTTAACATATTCCAAAGATTAGCCGTGAAATCTTTTAACAGTATGGGGAGCATAATTGAGCAAAGAGTTAAAACAATAAAAATTCAATTTTTGGTGCTCAGTAGTTCTTACATTATGAATAAAACATTTAAAAAAATCTTGAAGACAGACAAATAAGCTTTAAATATTGTTTTAACTAAACCACTGTGTCAATGCATATTGAATTATAATAGACTGAATTCACTCTAAATCTTAGAAACAAATATAATCTTTTATATTTTAACTGAATCTGAGAAAACTCTCAACCTTACTCAGTATGTACTTTCGTAAAGCTTACTTAATTTGCTTTAAATGATATGCATTGAAATGAATACATAAATTAAATAATGACAAAATGCTTCACAGAATAAATCATATGAATTTTATTGGTTCAAATTTACAAATCAATTAACAGCTACATGAAGACAATTGTGTATTATTTCATCATTTGAAATTCTCCCAAAAATCATAAGATGAAATTTTGCAAGACGAAAAATCCCAACGGTACAAGGAAAAAAAAAACTAATTCAACAAAAGTAAATTGAAACATATATGCGATAGTGCTGAAAAGGAGTGCTAAAATTAACTTTGTATATTTCAAAATTGCTGATTGTACACTTTTTCATGGAATAGTCCTATTCTATACACTGTAAAATAAATCCAAAGAATTTGTAAAAGATTGAAAAACAAAGTAACTGAAATCCAGTCTTAAAAGCCAAGATAGAAAATTACTTAAATTGCATGCTACATTTCAGTTGTTATTTACATTTGATGTTTTTAGGATTATAAATCATTTTTACTCGTTTATTCCATTCAGAAAGATGCAAACAAAATGAATATTCATAAAAATACCTTAAAATAACATAAATTGGAATTTCAGTTTTTAGCTAAGTATTTCATATCGCAGTTATGTTCGAAAGGATCAATCGTTGTATCCGGTTAAATCTGTGCGTAAATATATTTCACGTATTTGGATGATATGCTAGTTTTTTTGCTTTTGTTTTTGTTAACAAGAAATAGATTTAATACAAAATGCATGAAAAGATGCAGATTTGGTAACATGGTAATACATAATATTAGACAGTTAAAGATGCGAAATGAAAATTTATTTATTTGTCTTATAAGGTAAAAGAATGAGCTGGAAAATTTATGGGTTCAGTTAAATTCAACACATCAGATCCTAGTAAAAGTATCATAAAATGCAAAATAAAAAGTTTTAATTTGATTAAAACATGAAACATAAATTTCCTTTTTTCCCTCTTAAGATGTTACAATTTTCTTCAGAAAATTTCCTAAAAATTTATTTTAAAAGAATGAAGTATGTTTTTAAACCTCTAATCATTATGTTTCAAACACTTAGAAGCAAGTACAAATAAACTTCTTCAGAGAAATAAAATTTACATAATTATCTTCAGAAAATTTCCTAAAAATTTATTTTAAAAGAATGAAGTTTGTTTTTAAACCTCTAATCATTATGTTTCAGTTAACACTTATAAACAAGCACAAATAAGCTTTTTCAGAGAAACAAAATTTACATAATTATCTTCAGAAAATTTCCTAAAAATTTATTTTAAAAGAGTGAAGTTTGTTTTTAAACCTCTAATCATTACGTTTCAGAAAACACTTATGAACAAGTACAAATAAAGTTCTTTACAGAAATAAAATCGAATCATTCTTTAAAAGAGTTTTGTTTAAAATAATTAAGTACACAACTGTAATGCAATATAAAATTGATGTTTCTGCTAGATTTTAAATAAAATAACAATTACACTATTGATATTACTGTGATAATACAAAGAAACAATACAGACGATTTAAAGAGAACATTTTTCTAACGCAAAGGATGTCGAAATTCACAAAATCTTTATGGCGCATAACAATTTAAGACAAGACTTTAAAAACATAGCCATGTTTAATCATAGTGCTTTGGGAAAAAAATGCTGAAATTCTTAACATAAATTATAATTATACGTTTTAATTTATTTTTACTTTGTTATGTTGTAAATGTAAATAACATTATATACGCTTTAAAAAAACATTAGGAGAAAAGAACATTCTCAATGAAACTGTAAGTTGACAGTTTTTGAAAATTCATGAAAAGAAGGAAAATGCACAAAATTTCTAATTATCTAAAGTCTGCTGATCCTTCTGAATATTTAATTTCCAATCAAAGCGTAAAATTCAAGAATCAGAACTGATGGTGAGTTAGCAAATGCTTCTTTCTCTCCTGAAAAAGTTTGCAGCATTATGAAGCGTTATTTTTAGCTCAGGCAAGTGATGAAATAATTCTCTCTGCTATAATTCACACATTTTCATAAATTGTCTTCCGTATTCTATGAAGAAAACGATAAAACGTACTTATTCATCTATAGGACTGAGGGAATACAACAACGCAAAACTTCGATCAGTTTAACGTACGATATGACGTCTTGCTGTTATATTTAAAAATGAAAAGAATATAGGACATTTTAATATCCTCTTTATACATGTATACGTAATATAAACAATATAATTCCCAAGTAAGGAATCTTGGATATTTGGATAATAGTCGTCCGACTTGTGTAGATATCGACAAGAAGTAAAAAATATTTTTAAACCTCCCCGAAGTATGGTAGGGGCAGTTCAGCAAGTCCACTGCAGGAACTCAAATCAGTGCTCCAACTGATTATTAAATAGATCATGTGAATTTTTTAATAACAAAAATCCTCGCTCTTGGCGACAAAGTTTCTAAAATCTTGGCGACATTGGCATACAGAACTAATTACAGCGCTTAGTCCTACGACGTCCAAATCGTGCAAGTCCGCTTCTTTTACAATTTTGGTTCGACCTTGGAATGATTACATGTTATGCCGCAAAGGAAAAGACCTACACAGTGGTATTTTTAGAATTAATATTGCACCCACGGTAGTTAAGACAGCGTTCTTTCCACACAGGTAGTTCACGTGCACACCCACACACAATCAAAATTAGTCTTTTGTCCCAGTAACTGATAGAATCCGTTAGGGGGGAATTTTTTTTTTTTCAGTTTTCAGCGTAGCAGTTTTCACAAATGTCCCAAATCCAGAGCGTGGTGCAAAGCTGCCAAATCGGAATGACTGCTAACACGCCAAAACGGGAAATTCATCTAAAACACAAAAGTATAAAAGTAAGTTTCAGAATGCCTTCTATACTTATGGCAAATAAAATGACAGATTAATGGTTGAAATTACATATATACTTGAAAAAATACTTTATAGCGTATGGTACTTTGGAAAACAACCGGCACAAATCAAAAATGCAAGTTAAGAAAAAATTTTAAATAATAACACGGCAAAAGAAATATCGGTACTATTCCGTTGTGAGGACCGTAAAAAATTGCATAGAAAATGTATGCGCAAAAGCGCCAAATCTAGCAAATGCGCCCATTTAACAGCGCGCTAAATCTAGCGTACGCGCTGATTTCAAAATTGCTTAAGTTTAGATAGTTCTATATTTCTTAAGACTCCATTGAAATCTAGTTTAATTTTTAAATCCGTTTTTGATTTTAAATCCTTTTTTGATATCCTATGGATTTAACAATTTGGGACTTGTCCATGACGAAAAGTCTGCAATAGAATTTTTTCAAAGAAAGTCCTCATTCATTATAGAAAATTATGTTTGAACAACGAACGAGATGGAATTATGCTTTAGCGATAACTCGGTGGAGAAATAGCAATGCAGGAATCCATTGAGTTATGTTTAGCCCTTTTTTGATATAAATTATAATAACGATCTGAAATAGTTATTTGCTCTTATGCTTCCATTCAGTCGTGTTTAGCATTTTTTATATAAATTATAATAATAAAAAAAGTATTATATGAAATTAACCTTTCATATGAATTAAAACAATAAATCTTTAGATATTTATTTACTATTATACTTCCTTTCTTGCTTTAGGGTTGCCGCAATTATTTTTGACAGCACTGGCATCAACAATAGTTTGGCGATTTTTTACGGTCCTCAAAACGGAATAGTACCGAAATAGCTTATTGGCCTACTCTAAAAATCAGAACTAAATATTTTAATAATGCCTATTCTAAAATCAGAACTTAACAGCTATTCTAATCTGCATCAAATAGGTACGAAAGGTAATTTTAATTATAGTTACTGGCCACGAAGTAGTACCACAGAAAAAGGGCCCTAAATTGAACGTATTTCTGTATTTCGAAAAAAGCATAACTGTGCTCTAGTGCCCGAAGGAGATACTTTATGGCGTACTTCTACATAAAATTATTCATTTCTTTAAAAGATTGAGTAAATTAATACATTTCTAAAGAGAAAAAAATTAAGAAAATCTGATTTTATATTACGCCTAAAGCACAGACATAGATAAACAGAATATCTGCTAGAATTTCAGAGAGGCAGTCTCGCGCGCTGGTGATAAATATACTTTTTCCCCGTACAGCGTGCAATGTTGCCATTGCTCTCTTTGAAATCGTTGAGTTTGTTAATCAAAAATTAGTTAAAATTTTATAAAATATGAAATAGACAATAAGACAAATTGGAAATTCCAAATTTGGGCTTTCAAGTCGAATTCAGGTGGAGGACTACTTTATTCAAAATTCGATGACTCCTGGTACCATTGCTCTTTCACAATGGTAGAAACATGCGTACATTCATGCAAATTAGTCATTGTTTAATGTCATTGTTAAAAAAATTTTTTGGGCTTTCAAGTCGAATTCAGGTGGAGGACTACTTTATTCAAAATTCGATGACTCCTGGTACCATTGCTCTTTCACAATGGTAGAAACATGCGTACATTCATGCAAATTAGTCATTGTTTAATTTCTTTAAATATAATACAGAGCGATAATATTTGGTGGCAACAATCCGAAAAGTGAAACGGACGTTTATAGTGACTCGACGCAAAATGCCCTTTCGAGACTAATAAAACGTAGCTTTTGTGTATTCAGATTCAGGGGGAAATGAAAAATTAGTATTTTTTTAACTATGCCAATTTTCTATCAAAGTAGTTCTATTAAGCTATGTTTGTTTTATTAAATTGTTTGTAGTGTATGAAGATAAAATCTATTTGTCCTTCGAACAATCGCTTAAATAAAATGTAATTATAATGACCTAGATCTAGATTTTGCCAAAATAAAATTAATAGCTCTAAATTGTTAATTTACGGTGTATGAATGTCAGTACCTGAAAAGTATGTAAATACTGAGAAACATTTCAGTCACTTTTACCTAAAGTACATTTGCTTTATTTATTTACTTTTTTTATCCCAGAGGGGCAATTTGACCAGAAGGGCTATTAATTTCATTTTGGCATTTTGCGTTAGTTCACTATTAACGGGGTTTCAATTTTCAAACTGTTGACACCAAATACTAGAGCCTTGTATTATATTTAAAGAAATTAAGTAATGAAGAATCTGCATGACTTTATGTATGTTTCTCGCATTGTGAAAAAATGGTACCTAGAGGCATCAAATTTTGAATAACTTAATCCTCCACCAACATAGGCACCTGGACTCCTGAATTTTGAGTTTCGAATTTGTTTTATTATCTATTTCATATTTTGTAGAACGTCAACGAATTTTTAATTAACAAACTTAAACAATTTCAAGGCAAGCAATGGCAACCCTGTACGGAAAAAACATTTTTATCAGCGCGCGAGTGTATGTATCGGAAATTCTAAAGATAAGCTCTTTTTAAATTATTTTGTGATATTGCTGTTGAACTGAATTTTATGATTTAAGTGCGAAGAACATGATATTCAACAAATAAAGGTAAGACACAAAACGTTAAAAAAAAAGCCTCTTTGGGCGTGATATAAAATCTGAAATCCTTCAGATTATTTTTATTTTCTGTTCGCTTTGGCAATTTTGAAACTTGTATTTTACTAAAAATGCATGCAATATAAGTTTGCTTTTTTGCCTAATTGTATATTTACATTCATGTGTTCCTCTTCTTAAGAAATTAAAAACCGTTTTCAATATTAAATACTTAAAAATGGTTCATAATCAACCGAGACTTTTTGTAATAAGTAATACCATAAGAAACTTATTATATTATTTTTGCAGGAAAAAAAAAAAGCTTAGTTTTTCCAATTTTTATAAGCAATAAAACTGTAAAATTCTAACATACCCAATAATTTCCTGTGGCTCTTTCAGTGTATTGCAACTTTCAGTTGGTTAATTATCTTTCACGTTAAAAACAACAATTACAAGATTAAAATAATTCTGTTTAAGGAATTTCTCACTGGAGACAGTTCAAAATACTATAAGGTATTTCTCCCACTTCCCTAGCGTACGTTCGTGGTGTAACGGTAGCACGCTGGGCCGGTATTCCAGAGGTCCGTGGCTCGATTCCCGGCGAAGGCGGTTGCATATTTTTCATCTCGTCTGCCTCCAAATTAACCTAATGACTCTACAATACATTTAAAAAGGCGACACATCATATTATTATGATAAACGTAAAGTAATTGTCATTAATGAAAAAGCTGTCAATTGCTTTTCCGGAACCATGCCATTTCCTGGAACTATTCCGAGTAATATGTTTTTCATACTGAGTGGTTTTTATAAATTTAGGTTTACATCTTTAGCCCACATTAACAGTGAAATCTTTAACAGTGAATTAACAGTGAATCATGGCATCTGTACTGTTTACGGTACTGCAGTACACATCGAAGTTTAGACATTAGGTACTTTTAAAGCAGGAGTACATGAAAAATGAGCAGTGCCGTCGCCGGAACTCGAAACTGGACCTCTCGAATACGCGCCGAGTATGCCACCACGAAGGCATGCAAAAATGCCTTGTATCTTTACAAAGCAATTAGAAACATTGTAAGAGCTACCAAACGAAAAGTAATTCCACATTTTCCGAACAGTAAAGCAATTAATATAATAGTCTACAAATTAATCTCAAATAAAAATGTAAGTGTTCCTAAAATGGCGCTCTGCCCAATCTTCGCTTTGCTAAGCACTATTCAAGTCTTATCTATAATGATTTGCATTCTGATCACAGAGTAATGGCGTATCATTTAAAAAGGTCCGGCTAAGAGCAGAACTGCTCGAACATGTTAAAGAACAATACAAATTTAATTCGAACTCGCAGCCGGAAACCCGCCTTCTGTAAAAAACAGGTCATGGTGTTTGCTTAACAATTATTTCTCGATGAAGGGATGCAATATTCTTATTAGTTATTTGCAGGGAGAACTAATTTATTTGGGTCAATTTCCAGTAAGATATTTCTCGGTTAAGTGTGCTTATGAAGCATTATGGTTTTCCTCATAACCTATTGTTATCGTAGAGGATGGTAAGTGTTTTATGATGTCTTGGAAAATACACAATGAGAGTATTAAACGAAATCGTTTCTGATCGTACGCCGTAATTTTTATATTTTAGAACAAGCGCTTGCGAGAAAAGAAAATTATATATGTGTAAATGATAATGAGAATAATATTTGCTTTTATATATTTATATTTAAAATATGTAATGAATGTACATGATGACTATTAAATTAGGGTATAAATGGTTACCTTTAGGACTAATAATTTGAATTCCTTAAAACGTATTTGTGATGGTAACGTAAGTACACAAAAATCCGCATATTCTTTATCCGTCAGTAATTGTAATTTCATGAGCTTTATCACTAAATTAATACTCAGTGTATTATGAAAACAATGGCTGTTATAGAATGAAGTGAAAGCACTTCTACCAGAGTATAAGAAAACTAACTTATATTGTCTGAAATTATTAATTTAATTATAAAAAATAACAAACTAGTTTTAAAAAATAAAAAATTAAATATTTTTATAACAATAAAAAATGAATTTAATAAAGAAATAGAGAATATATAAATGAAATTATTTAGGAAATGTGAAGAAAAATTTAGAAAGCAAGTATCACTATTATGGTAATTATTAATTAGAATTTGTTAATAGATACATTGCAAATGCCAATTAAAATGTAAAACAAAAGAATGAAATAAGAAAGATCCCGACTATCAAGTGAAATTTGAAGCTCTCCATACAACCAGCAAAAATTCATAAGAAGCGCGTTTTTTTATCTCGCATATCCCAACAAATCTTTTTTCAATTTAACATTTCTATTCAGTTTTACAGTATCCGAATTTAAATCTTAAAAATTCAGAGCACTAACTTAAATTTAATTAAAATTCGCTAATTTTAAAGTTTTGCTTTTTGTTTATCTTTACAGATAAAAAAATGAAATGTATTTTATGCTTAAAATAAATAATATTAAAACAGAACCACTCATCAAACTCATCTAAGCATATTTACCTACCTATATGTTACTTTCATCACTGGTTATATCAAAAAGAAATCTGGGAAACCTAATGAAAAGTAATTCTTCAATCTCTTTTTTTTTTTCAAATAATTTTTTGTACAAATCATTTCCTATTGAATAGCTGGCAACATATCTGTAGTTGTATAGTTATCGAAGTATTCACAAAAATTTCAAGGTCATGGAATTTCAAGGTCATTAGGAAGGATTAATTTTGATACCCAGCTAATGTTATTTAAAGTTATTAAGAAGTGCACACTGCTTTTAAAATTATTCATTTTCTTACTCTAATCAGCAATGCATTTTTAGTATTTTTAATGTGTATTTTTAGTTTAGCAGTGTATATGGTATGTTTTATTTGTAGTATCAGCTTTACTATGTCAGTGTGTACTTTTCTGATACGAGCAGTGCATATGGTGTGTTTTATTTGTAGTATCAGCTTTACTATGTCAGTGTGTTGTTCAGTATTCTAGTAATAGATTGCATAATATGTTTTTTTAGTAATGTGAGGAATTATAGTAAGTGTGTAATTGTATAATAGTAAGGCAATGTAATATATAACTGCGGGCTTGAAATTCCATTGTTAGTCTTGAATTTTACAGTTTTTTTTTATCCTTACCAGTTTTGTACCAATGCAGCTTTGTACTTCTAAGTATTTTTTTTTAATCTGTGAAATCAAGAATGTCATATGTATTAAAGGTAGTCCTTTGTATTCTCTATCTAGATGTGACTCTGTAATTTTTTTTTTTTTTTTTTTTTTTAATTTAGACTCAATAAATGCTGTTATGGCTTCTGCAAGGGCGGACATTATACTGCAAAGGCTTGTTCCCGGGCAGTAGTCCTCCTTAGCAGTGTAAAAGTTTTAAAAAAAAAGTATTTTTATACAATAAGGAAAATATAAAGATTTTAGCTTTTATTGATTAGCAACAAGTTCCGATTTTGACAAGAAGTTAGATTTGTACAGCTAGGTAGTGAAGGGGGAAAAAAAGCTGATTTCAACTGTTAAAAAGAAAAGAAAAATGTGTGAACTTTATTTTTTTAATCTGCTTACGATTTTGAATAATTGTTGAAGTGTATCCTCTATGATCAACCGAAGCACGGATAGTTTGCAGTTTAAGAGAATTTTTGAAACGCGATGGGAAGATTTTTGATTAAGTTTAACCTGAATAAAATTGGGGATCAATTTTTTCGTTTATACTTTAATAAAAAGTTATGATGTTTCAGAAGTTTCTTTCGTTTCAGGCGTAATTTGGTAAAACGATTAATGGCTGAAGGCATGACAAACAATGACGGCAATCAAACTAACTTAACTAACCAATGGTAAAGCTCAAAACATTGGAACAATTTCACACTGAAAATGAAAACAAAACAAAATATTTACAGCTAGTAAGCATGAAATCAGATAATCAAACACATTAACTAGTTATTTAATTGTTCCAACTTATCGTTTTGCACACTTCTCAGCAATATTTTTTGCGTTTTCTAGAAGAGAGCGTAATTAAATTACATAGTTTAAGCTTAATGAACAGACTGATATTGGAAATTAGTTTAACATCCTTATGATGTTCGATTAATGACAAAACAAATTTACTACTCTGTCTTTAACTGTAACTGATACTAGTCAAAACTTTCACATGTTTTATTTAGTGATCTTTGTAAATTCTTACAAGTAGATTTCAGATATCAGAAATGGGAATGGAACATTGCATATTTCAAGATTTTGCTTCTGTTACTTTGATACAGAAATATAAGCACCAAATGTGTTTAATTTTTAATAGGTATACCTGTTTAGCGGCATGCTCTTCGTCTCTTCCGTCACCAATGACAACATAGGTACATTTCCTGCTGAACCTGGACACAATGCGCTCAAAGCATGTGTCTTTGCCTATGGGGGAAAAAATCAGTTTAAGTTAAATTTTAAAGTAAAAAAGACTTTGAAATTCATTTTATGAACTCGAGAATGCCAATAACCGCTTTCAATAGTAGCAAGCATGTTGAAATTTTTCAGACCATTTCAATTTTTTCTCTTGTGCCTCGCACAAGTAGTTGCGTTGCTCTTCTTTAGACAGGCATTCTGTCCAAAAAAGCGGCAATCCAATTATATCATCCTTTACTCTATTCACCTATTTCCATGTCCTGTGATTTCTAACCATTTCTAAAATTTAACGCTACTTTGAAGAGACTAAGATTTTCTGGTGTAACTACTACCTAACAGAGTGCGAAACAACACTTCTCAGTAAAATGAATATAAGATAATGAAATATTGCATTGATTATCTGAAATAAGATGCCACCAAAGTCGGTGTATCGTATTTCTGAAACACAAGTGCACAAGTTACTTTGAAATACTTTAAAAGCGGCAGTATCCTTAATGTAGCATTCCACGCATATATTTTTAAAGGAGGGTTCCGGTTATTAAATTGCCGCATATATATATATTTAAACAAATTAAATTTAAATTTTTACAAACAAGTATAAAAGTAAAAAAGCAAATTTAAAGCCAAAATTAAAAAAAAAGCAAAAAGCAAATTTAAAAAGCAAAAATATAATAATAATAATAATAATTTTTTTTTTAATTTTATTAATAATAATTTAATTAAATTTGTATTTAATTAATTAATTTATTTAATTAAATTCAATTTTTTCTTATGCAACAATATATTGTGAATGGGATTAAAATCTCAGAGAACGTGAGTTTGTAAATGACAAAAGTTATGGGATACTAACGTATCTTTCCTTAGCGAATGCTCGATTAGCGTAAAATATGCCTGAACAGATTTTTCATATAATTCACAAGATAAATTTCCACAAAACTATTCCTTGTTTTAAACAATGAATAATCTTATAAAGTTTTGTTTAGTTTCACTAACAGTTGCTTTATGCTAATGTGCTTTTCTGTTTTTCTCCTTTTCCTATTTTTCTGCCAGAATGTAAATTTCTAGCTCGCGTGTATTCAAATGAGGTAGAAAGGAATTAGTATTTAAAGGAATTTTTTAGAGTGTAGGATCGGAGCCTGTTCCGCCTGCTGCAGGCCACGTTGCTATTTTGATTCTCTTAAGAATAGTATTATGCGGTACTGCGTTATTCTTGCCGTTAGGCTTACCACGCGGATTTTAGGTCAGAGCCAACTCGCTCGTTTCTTTATCTCTGTGTTAGCCGTTGGGCTAACTTACATTTACTTATTTGAGTGAATTTTATTAGTTAAGATACAATAACACACCGAACAAATTATTTGCGCTTTTGCAGCTGAGGATGATGGTTCGGTAAAATCATCGAAACTAGTCTTGTGAAATTTGAAAATATAACGCTGATTTTTGTTATTAGCTTTAATTTAAGCCATAAATGCTGGCTATTCAAGTAGCACAAGAGATGCCTTCTCATAACTTTTATATGAGTTAACTAAAAGCATCCTTTACACCCTGAGTCCCTGTGCTTATAATCAGTGATAATCCACGTAGGTCTGAGAAGTTTCATACATTTAATGCTAACAAAACAAAACAAAACAAAACAAAAATGTGCATTTTCGAGTGTTTTTTACATCAAAGTTTTTGAATTTTATTTTGCATTTGCTGATAAATAATATTGATTTGAATAATGCTTTTAAAGTAAAGTTTACCTGAATTATCTTTCAGATAAATCGAACTATTCGCAAAAGACAGTAGCAATTGCTCATAAAAAAAGCAATAATTTTCAAACAATTACTCATGAAATAAAATGCAATTTTTGTAATTTTTTCAGCTTTCGTATGGCATATGATGCTGTAAAGCGAAGGTAGTGAGGGATTTACTGTAATTACTCATTTTTAGCCAAACCTAAAAATTGTCAGAAATATTGTTTTCTTACCTGTTTTGGTGGCACTGTATATATTTTCTATAGAGAAAACCCCACCAAGATTATACAGCAGAACTTTGGCTAAGGCTGGAACAAGTTGTGTTGTTGTCACCAATACGTTGACACAACTTGACCTGCACAAACAAGATAAAAAATTTGAAAAATCAAACTAATCCTGACATACATTTTCTTTCATTAAAAAAAAATATTATAGATAAAGTAAATGGAAATCAGTGATCCCGTTGATAAACATTTTACAGAAATTAAGAACAAATAGATTCATCAGTGTGAAGATATCGTTATGAAACCGTTTCTCTGAATTAACTTAGTAAAAAAAAAATAAATTACAGAAATATGAAAATAAAAAGAAGTTATTTTAAAGTAACAGAAGTAAGAAAAGATGAATTTCTGAAGATGGAAAAGTCTTTATAAATTTAACTTCCGTTTAGTATAATCATTTGCAATACGTAAAATTAGTTAAAAAAAAGGGGGGCCTTCATCAGTCTTCCATGATATCCATGGAGTATTTTTAGTCCAAAGGGATTTGAATCCCGAAGGACTATTAGTTTCGTTTTGGCATTTTGCGTCGGACTCATAAATGTCGGTTCACTTTTCAAACTGTTGCCACAAAATGTTAGAGTCCTGCATTATATTTGAAGAAATTAAATAATGAAAATTGCGTAAATGTATGTATATTTCTCGTATAGTGTGATAAAAAAACGGTACATAGAGTCATCGAATTTTGAAATAACGTAATCCTCCAACGAATATGAGCATGTGGAAGACCCAAATTTGAAATTTGAAATTTGTTTTATGATCGATTTCCTATTTTTTAAAACTTTGACGAATTTTTGATTAACAAACTCAAGGATTTCAAAGCGAGCAATGGCAACGTTGTGCAGAAAAAAACATTTTTATCTCCCAGCGCGTGAGTCTCTGTATCGGAAATTCTAAAAGATATGCTCGTTTTAAAACTATTTTGCGATATTGCTTGTTGCACTGGATCTTATGGTTTAAGTGCGAGGAAAACATGATATTTAATAAAGAAAGTAACACACAAATGTTAAAAAACGCCCCTTTGGACGTAATTTAAAATCTGAAAAACATTTCAGATTTTTTTTTTTTTTTTTTTTTTTTTTTTGTTGGCAAAAACAACATCTAATTAAACTTTCAACAGCAGGTTTTTCACATAGCCTACATATCATTTAGAATAGAAAATACGAAATGCGGTTGCTTGGGCGATAAGATGATATTATGGGCACGAAATAGAAAACAGCTATTTCGGATTTGCATGCCGGTGAAAACGAAAGAAGTTCACTACACATAAGGGACATTAATAATAAATAAAATAAAAAAATGGATGCGTTCTATCGATTTCGCTTTAAAGGGGTGGAAAAAAAAGATATGCAGGAATTCGTGCAAAATATTGAAATACTAATTCAAATATTCAATACAAAAGCTAATAGAAAAGCAAATTCAAGAAAGCAAATAACATCTAAGAAAATTCCAACTTGAGAATTTCTTGTATGTTCGACTCGATATTGAAAAAGCAAATTCAAATCGGCCATTTCGATGTAGGAAACAAAAACTCCACATATTAACATCGATGTAATATTTGTTTAAAAAGTTTACTATCTTTCCGTCAGCCTTCCCCTGGAACGGCCAATGGCAGAGTATAAATTTTAGAGAACGCGCAAGGATAAAGTATCACGAATTTTCTGATTTAAATAGAAAGGAAACGAGGTTCGAGGTGGTGAATTCTTACTTCACGAGCGCGAGGTATTTGGCCAGAAATTGAAAAACCCCGCTTTCGCCGTGGTGCTGCCTGCAAGTAGTGTAATCGTTCAACGTGATCTTAGTTTGCTGAATTGCAGCGGTATTGTAAAACCGGTGAGGTTAGTTACTTTTAGAGAGCCTCGTAGTTAGAGTGTCTTAGTTCTTTTCAGGTTATTATTTTTTTGACCGCCGAGTTGGCGCAGTTTGTGAGCGTCAAGAGCACGCACTTGTCTTTATTACGTTGAATAAAAAGGGACTTAAACCCTTAACAAGACTCTGTCTTTTATCCAGTTTTCATAGTCACCTCTTGGTTGCGTGCAAGTTGGAGGCGCGCAACGCTACACGATAATTGAATTCCACAGATATGTGGGAGAGATTTAATAACTATACCAGAAAGTTAGAATCATGCCTTTATTTTACCTGGAATGAATAATTGAGAGGCATTTTAGGGCCAGGGTCACCCAGTTGTCTGTTAAGTTCTCGATGTCAGCACGAAGTTGTAACCATTCTTCTCTTTTGACTGGACCCAGCAGTCCTAGAACAAAAAATAAATAAATAAAATAATTTCGTCTATATTTCTACTGAATAATTTCTCTTTTATATTATCGGCAAAAATTATGTATATTATCTTGTAATAATCAAATGTATGGTCTAAAAACGAACGAAGGAAGCTGAACTACTGACATGAATAGAGGTATGTACAGATGCATTTTTTGTTTTATGACGCATCATTCCACCTGCCTCATCGGCCGAGCGGTAAAGACGCTGAACACTGGTAGTTCGGTCCGAGGTTCGAATCCTGCGAACGGGCTGGCTGCATGGGCGTTTTTGTGGTTTTCCCCATGTGTAACGTGTATACGAGCCAGTTCCCTTAGAAAGTCCTCCACGAAAGGCATCCCTCCCCTTAGGCAGATAGCCCTAGTGTGCTTTGCCATAATTAAAAATACAATACATACACCACCTGCCTCATATATTTGAAAATAATGAAAGCACCTTGCCATTCATGAAAAGCAGTTAAAGAAAGTACGCTGCTCCTAAAAAATTAGTATATTGAAAATTAACTAAACTTCTTATAGAAAACTGATCAAAAGCAATTTATATAAAATCATTAATTAGCATGAGTTACCAAGTCTTCCAGTTGATTGATCTCAAAATATTGAAACTAAAGACAATTTATGACGGTAAAATTATCTCTCCTACTTTGAAGAAAGCCTTTCCGTATTATTATGATGCATCGTAACCTCGACAGAAATGCAAATCTCACTTCTTGATTTCACAGAATTTACCAACTGTTGATGACATCTTGGGGACTTGGACATCACTTTTCTAAAAATGTACTTCTCAGACTCTGAAGAGTCAGAAGCAATTTGGAAAACTTCAATTCGAGGCATAAACCATCCCACACATGTTCAATCAGATCACATCTGGTGAGTAAGCTTACCGATCCATTTGAGTATATCTTCTTCCAATTCCAAGTACTCTGCCATCAGAGATGCTTGTTGCGGATAAACATTGTCATCCATTAGCAAAATTTCGTATCCAACGGCATCCTTAAACAGCCTTACATGGGACTCCAAAACCTTTTTCACATATCTAGGAGTCTTTACAGAACTTTTATGAAATAAATGCATCTCAGTGTGATGATTTTTTGGTGATTGCACTTTAAGGCGCTCAGAACCGCTTCCCAAGAAACGCGTTCTTCCATGAACAAAGTTGCATGTTCCTTGCTGTCTCCAAATCAAATACTACTAGAAACATTATTCAGACTATATCTGAACTCGTAAGCAAATAGTATTCGATCCCTCTATTACTCTTGTCTCCACTGAACATAACAATGACATAACCTTAAATGGTAGACCTCTTTGGTAGATGAAGTGAGTAGGCCACAAACCATTGGTTTTTATTACGTAAAGTCCAAACTTATAAAACCTTCGTTGAGCAGAAGAACAACTTATTAGAGCTCTTGTGGCGGCCTAGAGGTCTAAAACCAACTCTCTTGTTGCATATCTATAGTTTCTTCGAGTCAACAACGGTAGAAAATGGTTTTTGCTCTTGATCTGTTTGTCTTCTAATTGATTCACAGCTTAAAAAGCGATTCTAATGTCATATCAAGTTCTTAACGCGACACTTCAAGCATATTATCATTTTTACCTTGTACTCAGATGACGCCTTTGAATCATTGACTACTCTCATTATTCTTTGAGAACCACAAAAAGTTTAAACAACATTACTCATCAGAAATTCAAGATTTAGTTCTGTTTTCGCGATTCCTCTTTTCGTGTTTTTCAAAATTCTTCCTGTTCCCGCGAATTCGGAGAACACAGTTCCCCTCCCACAGCTCCTCAGGGGATGTCACGATAAGTCATCAAGAAGAGCTGGACAGTTTCTTTGTGAATAAGTTTAGGCTCTTCTGGAAATCTTTAATTTCATTCTGTTTATAATTCTTCTACAATATTAGCTGTTATATTCACATCTTATGTTAACCAATATATAACCAAATATATCTTAGGACTGCCTCTTCCTGTTTTCATATGTACAGTAATCTAGTTTAAAATTGGAATAACAGTCAAATTGGCTCTTCAGTGATATATGCAAGAGTTTCACAGTACCTTGGATATTTACTATCTACAAAATTTGCCTTTATTCCAAATGCGAAGCATCTTTGCATTTTACAGTGAATTTTGTAAAATTGCGAAATGCATTTCTCGGAGGAAATGCCAGCTTTACAAATGCACACATTTTATTTCTGGTGAGAAAAGACTACTTCATTTGTATTAAGACCAAAAATTGAATGTTGCTAAAAACCGTATTTTGAAATTATTAATCTCAATAAGAATCAGCCAATAGCAAAGATTCAGGGTGTCCAAAATAAGAATATATTTAAACCGAACTCAAAAACATGCTCATGCTATGTTGATACAGCTAGGATCAACCTGTTTTTTTTTTTTTTTTTTTTTTTTTTTTTTTGTGTGTGTAATAATATTACACCTATCATAATGTAGTATTTTATATGCTTCATTACATTACATAGACATAACAAAAGCCATATTGCACTGAAACTCGATTTATTTGGACATTTCCATAGCCCTGTTTCTGTTTACAGTCCCTGGAGAATATTCGGTGTTTGAAGATGGTGCCATATTCCGAAACATGGATAAAGAACACATAGATAAAGTACATAAGATAAAGCTACATAAATAAAGAACGCCTAGATAAATGTACATAAACATAGATATGGTACATAAGATAAAATTACATAGATAAAAACATATAGATAAAGGTACATAAATATAGATATAGTACATAAGACAAAGTTACATAGATAAAAACATATAGATAAAGGTACATAAACATAGATATGGTACATAAGATAAAGTTACATAGATAAATGTACATAAATATAGATGTGGTACATAAGATAAAGGTACGTAGATAAAGAACACATTGATAAAGAACACCTAGATAGTACACAAAAACTCGTCAAGCTGTTTAAATTTTCATGCAAAAATAATTATAAACAGAAAATGCTTAACGACAGAAAATAAAAGGTTTCTATAAAATTTTAGACGATTAATAGATCAAGTTGTCATTATAATTTATTATTGTTACTTCTAAGATGATTTTGCTTATAAAGAACAGGATGAGAGATCAGGTTAAGAAAAAGTGTAAGGTTTAATACCTCCGACATTGTTCCTGTATTGGTTATACACTTCCTTGATCCTTCTGTACCGAAAGGCTAGTTTTCTCATCCAGTCAACACCTCCCCGTACACCAGTAGCAAGGCATAGACTCGCATTGGTGGCAGCGGCATGGAAACCATCGGCTTGAAAGTTATAGTTTCTATGGAATTAAAAAAGATTTCTGAAAGCACGAAAATAGAAATGCTTTATTAGCTGAGGGAAGAATTTTACAACCCGAAGATTTTTTATTACGATTTAAGAGTTCAAAGAGCGGTTCACCATAATTTTTTTTATTTTAATTTAAAAATATAAAAAACTATACGAATGTTTAGTTTCATTCTTAAACAGAAAGTATATCTACTGTTGCCAACCCAAAAAACTAAATTTTATTACCGAATAAGTAAAACCATTTAAAAAAGAATTCCAGTTTTAAAATCAGCAGTGTTTGTTTCTGTATTTCGTTTTCGAAAATAAAGTGCAGTAAACAAAAAAATATCAAATTACTAAAAGGATTTATTACCCTCTGAATAAAACGGAAAAAAAGAATTATACAGAGATGAATGCATTCTGCACTTTACTAAAATATTTTATCACCACCATTCGATTTTATTCAGATGAAAGAATACATAAGTAGCAGAATTAAAAATTTTGATGTCAGTATATATTACAGAATATTTAGATGCCTATTTATTAATCACACAATCGCATTTATGATGTACAATAACACTTTTTGCAAGATGTTGCTAAGAAGTACAAGTCAAATAATTATTCACTTGATTCGCTTGCTTTTTTTTAATATCGAAGATTATATATAAGATTTTACGCATGTTGATTTACCTTGTTTTTTATTTTTATTTAAAGACAGGACGTTTTTTGCCAAGTGGAAAAATATTTTTAACAGAGAAGTAAGATAAAATATGCAATTCCAATGTATGCCAATATGTAATAGATGAATTAATATAATATATCAGTTTAAATGTATATGGTGTTCAAAAATAATAGTCGTGTAATATTTATAGTTTGTTTCGTTTAATATAACATCGGTAGGAAACAGCTCATCTAAACTCACGCTTTAAATATTTTTACGCTTTTATGTAGTATTTGTTACGTAAGTTAAATTTGAAAATCGTTTTTTTTTTATCTCGTTTATAATCAATATATTTTTTGATAATGCATATTATTATTACCTCTGATACTATTAACTATTGATATTAAAAAAAAACTATTTCTGCTGTTAAACTAATCTGATTATTATCCAATTTCTCTTAAATAGTAAATATCTTAGATGTCGGTACTCTTCTGTTATCAGGACAAGATTCAGAAATGTATGTAAATATGCATGTATGGATGGATGTATGTGTTCATGTATGTATATGTATGTGCGTGTACACACATATACATATGCATACATACGTACATTTCTGAATCCGATCCGGAGCCACATTTGATAAAGCCCTAAGCTATTTGAGATACGGGGCCCTTTATAAGTCTCTTATAATATTGTTACGAATTTGGTATTTAAAAAGCTAATGTTAGTTCAATTATAAATTAAATGGTTTTATTTCTCGCGCAGTGCAGCGCGTGACGAATATTAAAAGAAAGCTAAGCCGGAAAAATTAAAAAAATACAAGAGCGCGTGCGTTAAATAAATAAATATCTCTTTTTGATTTCGAGAAAGTGCTGGAAAATTCTAGCGCGTGATTTTAAAATCTTATAAAAGGAGGAAAACATCTCAGTTTGTAGTAGTTGCTTAGTTTGTTGTTGTTTAGAAAACGGCTCTTGTTGATTGTAGCGAATTCGCGGATTAGCGTTCTTTAGCTGTTTTGAATTACGTTCTATTGGACATTTGAGTAGTTAAAAGATAACTACTGTGAGATATTGTAATACTGCATGATAATTTGAGAAAATTTAAGCATTTTTGTTGTGATAATAATAAATCTTTGTTCATTTTTCATCGGACTTGTGCATTCATTTCATAACGAACCCGTACGCACGCAACAATTTTTGGTGTCAGAAGTGGGATTTGAATGCCAATCACAAAGAGCGATGGAAAAGAGCAATTAAGACAGCTGATATCAGCGTTTGCCTCGTTTAAAGAAGAAATGAAAGCAGAGATGAAATGTAATCAGGAAAAAGATTGAAGCAGGACAGGAAAGATTGAAGCAAGACAAGACAAGAAGAGATGAAAGAGAAATTACCAGCGTAATAGAAAAACAAATTCGAGGTTATGGAAGGCAGAATGACGCAGTTGAGAATAAAGTTGGAAAACTTTGAAGAAAAAGTTTTTCTTCGGTAAAAGAAGAAATAGAGAGAGAGTTTCTGCCGTGGAACAAACAAATTAATGATAGAGTTTCTGCGGTCACCAAAGAAGTTGATGATTTAAAGAAATTCGTAGCGACGGCAGGTAGCAATCCGGAAGGTTTTCAAATTTTTTATCGATGCCTGCTCGTTCCGTTCTGAAACTATCTACATATGATGGGAAGAACCTCCTGGCAGGTGTATAGGACACAATTTTCTATCGTTTGCGGATGCGAATGGATGGGATCCCCAAGCTAAGGCCTGTCATCTCGCCCGCTTCTCTGAGAGCAGACGCAGCGGATATCCTGCAGAGACGCTTCCCGAAAATCAAAGGCTAGATTTCGAAGCTCTATCCGGCGCTTTGGAGCTGCGCTTCGGCGAGAAATGTTTAAAAGACTACAGCAGGCTCCAATTAAAATCTCGTCAACAGAAGCTCACCGAAACGCTTCAGGAGCTCGCCACGGATGTTGAAAGGTTGTCACATCACGCCTTTTCGGAGTGCCCCCGACAGAAACAAGGGAAATCCTGTCCCTGCAATATTTCATCGATGGCATCCGGGACCCTGAAATACAGAAAGCACTGCGAATGGCTGATGTTAAAGATCTGAAAAGCGCTTTAGTGTATGCCATGAAATTTGAGGCAGCCCAGCAAGCCACCCGTCGAGACCGCCATCCAGTCAGAGCTGCTCAAGTCCAGGAGCCAGGGGATCAAGTCACTGCTCGTCTAGACGATTTAACTAGACAACTGAAACGCCCTTGAGACAGAATATTGGTGACAAGAAACTGACCGTAAAGTGCTGGAACTGCGGTGCTGAAGGACACATCCGACGAAACTGCAGAACACCCCAGGGCACGGATGCTAAGACCGCTCCTAACAAACAGCAGGGAAACTAATTAGTGGCCATCTCGCGGGGCGGAGGTTGCCAGATCATGAAAAGCCCCAGTTTAAAAAGCGCTTCAGATTTCTGCAGTGAGAGGCGGCAGTAATGGACATTTTCATAATAGGACATATTAATGGAGTTCCCTGCAATATGACGATAGATACAGGAGCCAACGTTACCATCATCCGAAAAGATTTGGCTCAACAACTGGGAAGCAAACTTATCTGGACGCCGCCCTGCGTTTACCCTACAGACTGTGTCCGGTGGGAAGATCAACATCGATGGAAAAGTAAATGCTAACATCACGTTTGGAAGTGCCGCTTACCATCACACGGCATATGTAGAGATCACTGATTCTTGCATACTCGGATTGGACTTTCTAAGGAAATACAATTTTTCCTTGGACTTTAAAAATAACGAATTGCATTCTACATCTGAGGACATAGCGTTATTTGGAGTCAATGATGAAAGTTAAATCTGTCCATAAAATCATAGCACAAGACAATATCACAATACCGGCAAGAACAGAAAATTTTACTTCCTGGATCCATAGCCGAAAACAGAAATTTCCGCTACGGCATCATAGAATATCCCAATAACTGTAATAGCCCAAAAGGAGTACTAGTAGCCTCAACACTCGTCGACCTATCCATCAGAACGGTTATCCCGGTGAGAGTCGCCAATGTAACTGAGAAGGGGAGAATTATTAAGAAAGGTGAAGTGGTTGCAACATGTACTCCAGTAAACCACCGTTGAAAGAAAGAGTAACATCCAAGAATCCGTTGTCCTCAGAGAGAATTACATCGGAGTTATTGCCAGAATGCGCAATTAAACGATAAAAGAGAGGAATGCTGCCGATCGCGTCGTTAAAGATCTTCAAGTTGTTTTCTCCCGCTCGTCATCTGACGTGGGTCGAACTAGTTTGACACAAACATAGAAATAGATACCGGCGATCATCCCCCGATCAAGCAACATCCAAGACGTCTACCGTTTGCTAAACAGGAAGAGGTGCGAAACACTTTTAAAAGATATAAAAGAAAGCGATGTCATCGAGCCTTCAGTAAAGTCCATGGGCATCTCCCATCGTCCTAGTCAGAAAGAAAAGACGGCTCAACAAGATTTGCGTCGACTATCGCCGGTTGAATGAGGTTACGAAGAAAGACAGTTACCCTCTTCCTAGAATTGACGACATTCTAGACACTCTTTCTGGCAGCAAGTGGTTCTCAACACTTGATTTAAAGAGTGGGTATTGGCAGGTAGAAATACAGCCTGAAGACCGAGAAAAAAGACGGCATTTATTTACTACGGGACAAGGGCTTTGGCAATTTCAAGGTGATGCCGTTTGGACTGTTGTAATGCGCCGGCAACATTCGAACGTCTTATGGAAACTGTTTTGAAAGGCCTTTCCTACGAAGCCTGCCTCATATACATGGACGACATCATCATCGTCGGAAAGAGTTTTGAAGAACATTTAGAAAATCTTAGGAAGGTGCTTCAGAAACTGAAAGAAGCCAATCTGAAGCTGAGTCCCGCTAAATGCAAATTGTTCCGAAAGGAAGTGACTTACCTGGGACATGTCATCTCTGCAGAAGGTGTGCGCACGGATCCTGAAAAGGTATCAGCGGTTAAATCCTGGAAACGTCCCGAAAAGGTCCATCAGCTGAGAAGCTTCCTAGGGCTTTGCACCTACTATAGGAAATTCGTGAAGGACTTTTCTTCCATCGCAAGACCCCTACACAAGCTGACAGAGAGCAACCAAAAGTTCTTGTGGACAAAAGAATGCGATGATGCATTTAACAACTTAAAGGAGGCTTTAACATCTGCTCCAATCCTGACGTATCCTCAGCTTGACCAACCATTTATTCTCGACACCGACGCGAGTAATGAAAAAGTGTTGGTGCTGTTTTGTCCCAAGAAATAGACGGCCAAGAACGTGTAGTGGCATACTGGAGCAAGTGCCTGTCTAAAACCGGAGAGGAATTATTGTGTCACCAGGAAAGAGTTGCTCGCCATAGTCAAAGCTGTAGAACAGTTCCATCACTATCTCTATACGGCAGAAAATTCCTGCTCCGCACACCGATCATGCATCATTGACCTGGCTTTTAAATTTCAAGAATCCTGAGGGTCAAATAGCCAGGTGGATACAGAGACTCCAAGAATATGACATCACTATCCGTCATCGTAAGGGATCATCACACCACACGGAAACGCCGACGCCCTGTCTAGAAGACCTTGCCAAGAAAGCTGCCGATATTGTTCCAGGGTGGAAGCGAAATACGAGCTGCTGACTCCGGTCGCAAGACAAATTACAACATTAACATCGGCTGATCGAGAACCGTGGAGTGATGATGAAGTCAGGAAAGACCAGCTGGAAGACCGCGACATTAAACCCATAATTGATTTAATGGAGTCATCAAACAGAAAACCTACCTGGCAGGACATTTCTATCTGTAGTCCTACAACCAAACAATATTGGGCACTCTGGGATTCACTTCACATTCGAAACGGCGTCTTATATTGGAAATTCGAATCGGATGATGGGAAGACGTTCCGATGGCAACTTATACTTCCAAGATCCCGCATTCCTGATGTCCTTAAAGAGTTACATAGCACCCCTACTGGAGGTCACTTTGGAATTATGAAGACCTTACAGAGAGTTCGTGAGCGCTTTTACTGGAATAATGCAAAGAATGACGTGCAAAAGTGGTGCCGATCTTGCGATGCCTGTGCAGGTCGGAAAGGACTGAGGAAACGCAGCCGAGGCAGACTGCAACGTTACAACGTAGGTGCGCCTTTTGAACGTATCGCCTTTGACATCCTGGGACCTCTGCCACGAACTGCTGATGGCAACAAATACATACTCGTTGTCATTGATTACTTCACCAAGTGGCCTGAAGCTTATCCTATTCCTGATCAAGAGGCAGTCACAGTAGCTGAGGTAATGATACAGAACTGGATTTCCAGGTTCGGAGTGCCTCTTCAGTTACATTCCGATCAGAGAAGGAATTTTGCCTCGGCAGTAATCAAAGAACTATGCAAACTACTTGGCATTGACAAAACTCAAACGACGCCATTGCATCCCCAGTCGGACGGCATGGTAGAGAGGTTCAATCGAACCATCCTTAATAACCTCTCATTAGTGGTTTCCAGAAACCAACAGGACTGGGACAAGAAATTACCACTCTTTTTTCTTTTTACTGGCTTACCGCAGTGCTGTCCACGAGACTACCGGCTATTCTCCATCACAGATGCTCTTCGGTCGTGACCTTCGTCTGCCTTGTGATCTATTGTTTGGCCGCCCTCCGGATGCTCCTTCATCGTCTGAGGAATATGTTCAAGATCTCCAGGCCCGGTTTGAAGAGATGCACAATTTTGCACGAGAGCGAGTCAACTTGGCGACGGAGAAGATGAAGACCCGATACGACACAAGAGCTACTGAACATCAATTCCACGAAGGAGACAAGGTGTGGTTGTGGAATCCGACTCGACGGAAAGGACTTTGTCCGAAATTACAGTCACCTTGGGATGGGCCGTAGACAGTCCTGAACAGGCTGAATGACGTCGTGGTTCGGATTCGTAAGTCTTCGAACTCTAAACCTAAAGTCGTTCATTACGACAGGTTAGCTCATTACTATGGCCATAGTACATAATGTAAATAATTGTAAATAGTATCAGACCATGGGCCTTTTTGTTTTTAAATGTGTATTTAGTATTTGATTTGCATTTAGTATTTGATTTGTATTTAGTATTTGATTTGTATTTAGTATTTGTTTTTTTTATTTAGTATTTGATAGCATTTGATTTGTTTAAGTTAGTTATTGCATTTATTGTTTATATTGTTTGATATTGTAATGTAATGTTTATGCCTCAGTTGCATTTATGCCACAGTTGTAAGTTTAGCTTCCTGTCCAGGGATTGTACTGCCCGGGACGTGCAGTCCTTGGGAAGGGGACAGTGTTACGAATTTGGTATTTAAAAAGCTAATGTTAGTTCAATTATAAATTAAATGGTTTTATTAGTTCGCGCAGTGCAGCGCGTGACGAATATTAAAAGAAAGCTAAGCCGGAAAAAAATTAAAAATACAAGAGCGCGTGCGTTTAAAAATAAATATCTCTTTTTGATTTCGAGAAAGTGCTGGAAAATTCTAGCGCGTGATTTTAAAATCTTATAAAAGGAGGAAAACATCTCAGTTTGTAGTAGTTTTGCTTAGTTTGTTGTTGTTTAGAAAACGGCTCTTGTTGATTGTAGCGAATTCGCGGATTAGCGTTCTTTAGCTGTTTTGAATTACGTTCTATTGGACATTTGAGTAGTTAAAAGATAACTACTGTGAGATATTGTAATACTGCATGATAATTTGAGAAAATTTAAGCATTTTTGTTGTGATAATAATAAATTTTTGTTCATTTTTCATCGGACTTGTGCATTCATTTCATAACGAACCCGTACGCACGCAACAATATATTTTAATACTATTTACACTCAGTTTTAATTTTTTTGGAGAGCTATAGCTTGTGTAGCTTATACGTAAATCCGGCCTTGATCCGATCCCAGTAACAGAAGAGTACCAAGATATCCCTTCCTTAAGGCACATAGCCCTAGAGTAATTGGCCATAATTTAATAAATGAATTAGTAACCTAGATAATTTATTACCAAACGACACAGATTTTAACAACCAATCTGCCTCCTCTAAGATAAAAACAAATAAAAAATTGCCTCAACTGCTATTTTTATTAGGGTGAAAAAATTGGTAAGAATTATTCCTAGATTAGAATAAATTTTGCAGCGCCATCTATAGTTTCAAATTAAAATTAAATTCAGTTTTAGATTTTCAGTAGAGATTCATCCCACTTTGTATAATTAATATTTTAAAAAATTCTCATTTGTCTGTTAGGAAACATCCTATCAAATAAAAATTAACAATTACGTCATTAAATTCCTTTAGCGGTATGAGCTTTTAGCTGCTACATTTTTAAACTTATGTAATGAATATTTTGAATGTAAGACGAGTAACATGTTTCACTAAAAAAAAAATTCAAATATCAGTACTTTAACATTCGAAGAAATACATAAAATACTTTAAGATATTTATAATGAATTCAAAGAATCTGTTCTTTTGAAAATTCGAGCAAACACTCTGTTACTGTACTTAAGTCCCTTTTGTAACTCATTTATTTAGAAAACGTAGCATATTCTATCACAAAAGTTCTGCTTTCTTTCGATTAAAGTAACTTAAATTAATTAGGATATAGTAATAATTAATTAATAATTAATATTGGGTAGCACTAATTAAGTAAAATTTAATTTTATAGTAATATCTTGCTTAATTCGTAAAGTTTGAAATTTAGTAATGAAGAGAAATCCTATTTTGGAGGTATAGTAATTTTGTCAAAGACTATCAACAGATGGCAGCACTGCACTACAAAATCTTGCATGATTAAAAAATTATTTTTAAATCATTGCAACTACTGCCATGATTTTCTACTATTTTATTCCAGTTTTTGTGTGTATATACACATAGTTCTAAAAAAAAATACTTACGTTAGATCTTGTCCGTTGTCATCAGATGAAACATCGTCGATGTGAACTTGATCGCATTCCTGTAAGATAAAATTTTGTAGATGTGTTGTAAATAAGAATTAATGACGTGTCAATAATTTAATAGTATAGATATTTCAAAGCTGACAGATTTGCCTTTCTGAAGGGAAAAAATTACGATTCTCAGTAAAACGAGTAAACAATGTAGAATTATAATAAAGCTCACTAGTAATATTTAATAACACAAAATAGTAATACCCTAATAAGCTACTGATATTTAAAATAATGAAAGCTACTAATAACTTACCTCAAGGTCATTAAAGAAAAAATGTGTGTCAGCGAGATTAAATATCTTTTCTTCCATTCTCAATCCTAACTGAACTGAAAGTGGAGGATCCTGAAATGGAAAAGAAACTTAGAATAACCATGCAAAGAGGAGACGGTTATAATCAAAAAAGCATCAACTGCAACATAAAATAATTCTATGTTTCTTTTTTCAAGAACAACTCATTTAACACAGGGTAGGCCTTTGAGTGAGAAGTTTGAGAATTTTTGAGATTCCAGTAAACTGAAAACAAATTATTTTTTTGGAAACTGTGAGTTCTTCCTTTTCAGATACTAAATTGTAAAAATGAATGCTATCGGTAAGCTGCAATTAAGTACATATTCACAAATTACGTAATATTTATCCAAATATTCATTCGTTTAGCAGAGAATTACTTTAAAATATGCGCTTGAAGAAGAGTCGAGAATTATGTGGTGCTGCCATCTGTTAAATATACATGAAATTAATTGCTATCATTCATATAGATCCTATCGAATGTATATTTTTGTTTATAATGGCAGCATTAGCTTATTTTTTGTTTGTCGCTATGGTAAAAAGTTTGTCATCGATTTTGAAACAACTTCCTGATTAAGTTATTGAGTTCAAAGTTTTGTACACACACTGTTTGTGGATGAGAGTACAGTATGATAAAGCGATATTTTCGAAATTTGATTAACTTTTTTTAAAATTTAATATTAAAACGAATTTTACGATATATCTTCTTTTAACAAATAAATTAAAAATCTCACAAATTTAGTGTTTACACCATTTGATAGACTGAAAAAAAATCTTTTTAATGAAATTTCTATTAAATTTTTAACCTAAGTTTTGTTATTTTTGCTGAATTTTGGGAAATCGATCGATTTTTCGACTATTTGACGCTTATGATTTTAAATATTCAATATCTAAAACTGTATCTATTGCAGTTTTAAAATTTTCACACATTATACAACAAATATTTCGCCTTCTTTTAAAACAAGAGCTATAAAAAGATAAGGTACGTTTTTATTTAATTTGCTTAATAACTTGCTTGCTTAAATATTTTCAGAATCCAGATTTTCTTGTTCAAATTCGTTTACAAATAAGAAAACTTATTCTGTGACATTTAATATTTACTTTACTGTCCTTAAAATTTAATGATGAATTTGAATGTGATTCTTTTTAGCTTCATTTTTATATTATTTTCAGCTTCATTTATTTTTTTGCATTTACCTTCATGCCTGCTGTGATCTCCATATGGGAAATTTTCTCGTTCTCAGCCGGGGAAATCATATTTGTATGCAGTGGTTATACTACAATACGAAATATTTATTTACATAATATTATATTTATACATAATATTTGAATTCAAGTTGTACTCTAGTAGCTTTAATATATGTCTTTTGATTCAGTATAACTAACGATTCATTTTGGACTTTTACGATTTCTTAAGTCGTATAAAGGAAAGCAAAAACGCGCCATATAAAAAACAAACATTAGGAATCAATGCAATAAATTGCAGTGCTGGAATCATTTCTAAAACACTTTGTGCAACAACAAAGTTTTTTTTTTTTTTTTTTTTTTTTTTTTTTTTTTTTTTTTTTTGTTAAAAATATCCCAATCATACTTTAATGACGTAAAATAAACCTATTTTGAAGAAATGTATTTAAAAATTTTATGAATAAAATTGAGTTAAGGCATTTTGCAGGTTGCAGGGTTTACATAATATTTGTCTTTTTAATGATTTTAATATAAATTTTGAAAAATAACAACTACGGTACACTTCCTATTGCTGTTTGTTTAAAAACACTTTATATTCTATTCTACGTAAAATCAATTGTTTTCAAGATAAGTATTATTTTGTCTTTGAATATTTAAAATTTATATAACAGCTAGCGCGCAAGCTCGCCAAATAAGCGGGCTGCGGTCAAAGTAATAGTTACAAATTCCATATACTGAACATAAAATGAACAATTAATTTAATATACTGTATACAAAGTTGCCAGATGCGGCCAAAGCAAAATTTATGAGTTCTTTGTACACCGGAAAAGAAAGTGCATAAAAACATTTAAGTATGAAAAAAATCAGTTCATTCTTCCCAAGCAACAAACAATTCGTAAATAATTTTTTTTTTGCCAAACCAGGAAACAAGCCCCGTGTTGTACATATGTGGTGCACGGGGAGTCTGTATGTTCTCAAAAAAAAAAAAAAAAAAAAAAAAAAAAAAAAAAAAAAAAAAACAGGAAACATAAACTTTGGATACTTCAGATTAATACGTATACATATCACGTCATGATTTAAATTTAATGTAATGAAACAACTTTTTTTTTTCAATATCATTAAAAGAATTAACGTCGCAATAACATACCGTATCAGTTATCCTAACTTAAATCAAATTTCGTATAATTTTGTTAAATAAAACTTGCATTGCAAAGATATTCTTTTACTACGAAAAATATTATCATCAAATACTTTAACAACTAGTGCATTTGCCTCTACTAATAAATCATTATTAAAAAATATGAGCGTAATATAATACTTTAAAATACATATATATTACATACACGATGGCAGCAGTATGAAATTATGAAAAGGAATTCTTCAACTCCATTTGATGCATTTACTTATTAAATGTCACAGAAAGTTTTATGCAACGCAGAAAAAAAAAAAAATCTTCATAATTTAATTATCCTATAAGAATTATGGAAATGGGAATAATTATATATACTATAAGAATTATTGAAATTTTGTATATATGACTACTATAACATGTAGATGTTCACCTCGTATTTTAGTTGCAATCGGCGGCGCCAAACGTATATAAATATATTTATATATATATCCACTCTGTTACCCGGCTCAGTGATCTCAGTTTCTTATATGTTTTTCTTATATGTTTGTAAATTGTACATTTTTTGCTTTTAAAAATGATTGAATTATGTTGTTAAGTGTGGGTACTGATAATTTTACTTATGTTTTGTATTTGTGCGCACAAAACTCTTTAAATGATAGATAGCAGTACCTTTCAACCTATAATATGGCGTACTTCTTGAGAGTACATGGTAAATGCTGGGGACACACCATTAAAGCTCCAAAGCCTCTGTATCTGCTAGTTTTTATTTTTTCACATTGCCAAATAACATAAATATACTTAAGTTTCAACGAAGAGACCTATGATGTCTTAACTTATTTTAATAAACCCTTGTCTATACCAAATTCTTGGAAACTTTTCTTTTTCCAATAGCCATTTTTAGGCATTGGCCAATAATAGGCCGGAAGCGTTGGTCACTTTATTATGGAGACACCTAACTAGGCGGACT